TTGCTGCTTTAAGGATCTTCTCTTTATCTTTGGAATTTGCAAGCTTCACTATTAAATGTCGAGGTGTTGTGCGGTTTTTATTGATTTTAGGGGGGATCTGTTTCCTGGATCTGAATGCCTGTTTGCCTTCCCAGATTAGGAAAGCTTTCAGGTATGATTTGTTTAAATACATATTCTGGACCTCCGTTCGTTTTCCTGCCCTTGGGAACCCCAATTAAACGCAGATTTTTCTTCCTCAGGCTGTCATTTTTTTCCCTTATCCTATCTTCATGATCTTTAATTGTTTTTCGCTTTTTTTCCTCAGTTTCCCTCTTTGCCATCAGCTTGTCCTCTATGTCACTCGTTCTTTCACCTCGTTAATCCTCGTCGTTAGGACCTCTAGTTTGGATTGTGTCTCATTTAATTGATTTTTATTTTCTGCCTGATTAGATCTAAATTCTGCAGTCATGATATCTCTTGAGTCCTTTATTCTTTTTTCTAGAGCCACCAGTAGCTTTATAATAGTGCTTCTGAATTGGCTTTCTGACATTGAATTGTAATCCAAAGTTTGTAACTCTGTGGGAGGGAGGACTGTTTCTGAGTCTTTCTTTTGAGGTGAGGTTTTCCTTCTAGTCATTTTGCTCAGTGCAGAGTGGCCAAAAACAAGTTGTATTGGGAAAAGGAGAAAAAGAGAGAAGAGAAAGAAAAAAAGTAAAAGAAAACAAAAAAAGAAAAAGAAAAAAAGGAAAAAGAGGAAAAGAAAAAAGAAAAAGAAAAGAAATGGAGGGGAAAGCAAACAAATCAAAATACAAAAAAACAAGGGAGAGTATCTTCTGTTTCTGATTACTTAAATCCCTCGACTTCCCCTGGAACTCTCCAGTGCTGCTTGGTCAATAATCTGTTTTTCCGCTGTCCATCTAGCTGGTCTTCTGGGGGAGGGGCCTGTTGTGCTGATTTTCAGGTGTTAGCACTTGGGGGAGCTGCTCAGCCCCTTGCCTGCTGCAGGGCTCAGTGAAAGATATTTAAGCTGTTTATCCGATGAGGCCACTGTGAGGTTCAGTGGAGGTTGTTTATCCTGTGAGGCCCCAGGAGAAACAACACTGGCGTCGCCCAGCTGTCGAGCCCTGAATTCAGCTCCCGCGGTAACTACGGAGCTCTCAGTCTACAGGGGCCTGGATGCTCGGGGTTAGTGCCGCTGATCTGCACAGCTCTGTGCCGCCTGGAGGCTGGAGCATCCTTGCTCCCCTGTGTCCTCCCGGCCTCTACCTGTCCCAGGGGGAGCGCCGGATCTTGGGCTGTGTCCCCGGTGCCCTGTGCTCCCGGGTCTGTGCTGTTGGAATCGTGCTCCCGGCTACGCAGCCCCTTCCGCATGGAGCCTCTGCCGGAGCTGCTCCCGAGCTGCTCCCAGGGCCTTGCAGCCCCCTCCGCAGGGAGCCTCCACCGGAGCTGCCTCTGTGCTGCTCCTGGGTCCAGCCCGCGCACGCTGCAGCCCTTTAGGGAGCTCAGCTACGGGGTGTGGTGCCCTCTCCCCGGGGCGCAAGAGCTCTGTTAGTGTCGCAGGGAGCCTGAGGGCATCCCCGCCCCTCCTGGGGTCTTGCTCCAACTCCCTGCGAGCCTCTTTCCATCCGAGAAGTATGGTGAAGCTCCTGCTTATCCAGGACGGGGCTTTCCTGTCCTGGGGACACTCGCCCTGGCCTTAGCCCGGCTCCTCGCGGGCCACCCCCCCTTGGATGCCTTTTGTTTCTTTATTTCTTTTTTCCCCCATCTTCCTACTTTAATAGAAGCATGAACTCTTCTCACTGTAGCATTCCAGCTCTTCTCTTTAAATCTCAAGCCGAATTCGTAGGTTTTCAGGATGATTTGAAGGTTATTTAGGTAATTTGGTGGGGACTGGTGACTGGGGGACCCTAATCTTCTGCCATCTTGCCCCGCCTCTCTGTATATTGTTTTGTATTTTATTTTCATTGAATTATTTTTTCCATTTAATATATTTTATTTAACCTAGTATATTCAAATTATTATCATTTCAACATGATATTAAAAAAGTAAGGAGCTCTTTATATTTTCTCTCACTAAGTCTACCAAATTGAGAATGGACTTTACTCTTACAGCACATCTGAGTTTAGATAAGCTGTATCCCAAGTGCTCAGCAACCCTAAGAGTCAAGGGTCTGCCCTGCTGGACAGCACAGATGTAACTAGTACAGTTCCTGTGGTCACCCAGGGGTGCTCAGTCCCCCACCTCACCCCAGAGCTGTGGTGGGATCCTCCCCTGATGGGTTCTCAGGTCTGCCTAGACGTGCAGCCAGAGCAGCAGGTGGGACCCAGCTGAGCACATAACCTGGCACCTACAGTGGCCAGCCTCATCTACTCCCCTCGCCACCCCCCCCACACACACACAGAGCCAGGGATTGGCATCCTGCTACCCTCACCACTCTTTTATTTCATTATTGATACAGAAGAAACGTTTATGCTTATGTTGGCAATTTAATGGTCTTCTAATATTCCATGGAATTGCGTTACCTACTCTGAATTTTTAAAAATTTTATCAGAGAGATGAAGCCAGAGCAAGTGGGAGGAAGAGGCAGATGGGGAAGGGAGAGGGAAAGAATCTCCTCACTGAGTGGAGAGCCTGTCCCTGGTCTCCATCTCACGACCCCATAATCATGACCTGAGCTGAGACTAAAAGCTGAGATGCATAAACAGCTGAGCCACGCAAGTTCACCCCTGCTCTGAAATTTTTCCACATGCATTTTTTTTGGGGGGGGGGATGGGGCTATAAAGTTTAAATAGGCATCTTTATGCTTGAGTCTGTCTTCACATTTTAGTTTCTTACGATAGATTTCTAGTGGCAAGTTACTAGAACAAGATATATATAAGCTTCTTGATACCTACTGCTAAAAGGTTTCAAAAGTTCCTCTCAATAGGAGACTTTTTCTTTTTGGTAATAATTATAACTTTACAAACTATTAAATATGATTTACTCAGATTCTAGCTCTTATACAAAATGTGAGCTACAGAAGAAGGGAACCTGATTGTGAATGCTTTTTTCTCCTCTCCATTCTTTTCTGTTTCCTGTTAAATCAAGAATAATCTAACGTTTGGCAGAAGCTTCAACAAACTAATACTTTTCTTGTAGGATATGGACCACTTGGATCACTAATGAGATGAAGGAAGAAGAGTCCATTAGTGGAAAAAAGTCAGAGGATGAAGGAATTGAAAAGGAAAACTTAGCAATACTAGAGAAAATTTGGAAGACTCAAAGGCAAGACCATTTCAGTGTACGTATGTGCACATATCTAGAACCTGGACTTTGGGGATTGAGTAATTATTGGTAATAATTAATGTAAAACTGAGCAGTTCATTAGGATAACAGTCTAAGCTGCCCCCTCCACCCTCTCCTCTGTTGTACATTCAGCCATGTTTTGTTTACCTGGTGGATTTTGTTGTTGTCATTGAAGTTCTTCATCTGTTGGTAGCTTTCTTCCATGCTCCTGTGCTTTTTACATGCTGGAAGTAGCCTGCTAGTCACTGTATAGTGCTCCTTTCCAGCCTATTTTTATGCTTACTCTTCTGTGAGATCTGTATTTTTAAATTCAGTGTCTTCTGCAAAGTACAGTATAAATTCTTCCCCACCAAGGTACCATCTGATCTGTTGTGCTCTGTGCAGCCAAAAGTATTTTTTTCTTTGACTATACATCTCTTTAATGTGAAGTGGCACGGGGTGTGAAATGAACATTGAGTCTGTTAATAAACACAGCTGTGTGGATTCAGTTTCCTAAACGCTAAAATATGGGTAATACATTCGTTTTGGTTGATGGCTGAAGAGTAAATGAGAAGGATGCATATAAAATGCCCAAAGTAGGGAAACATGTACAAGCCCAGTTATTTGCCTCAACACTTCCGACTCACATACTATCTTCCATTAGAGCTATTTATCCAACCCATGACATCTGAGGACTTTCGCTTTAGACACAGGTTCTCACAAACCATGATTGAATCACTATGTAGCAAAATGCCAGATATTGTCAGGAGACAGATTAGTCTCTCCCCTTCCATCTTACTGTATTAATTTAATCAGCAGATCTTTTTTTTCTCTTTTTAAAGAGTAATTTAGCTCTACTTATCTTGATTACTTAAAAATTGTTCATAGCATTTAAATTAATGATTACTGTACCTTCTCTTGTGATTGCTTTGTTTGTATATTATATTCAAAATGACTACGAATTATAGAATGTTTCCGCAAGAGAGACACTAAGCCAGGGACTCTACCTTCCCATTTAACCTTTGTAGCACCCTTATGAAATATTGTTCCTATTTATATGTGTGAAACTAGGGTTGAAACCAGTTAAGTAATGTATTCAAGGTCACAAAGGTAGAAAGTAAAAGCATTGTGAATCTGAATGCCACCCATTTCCCAAAGTGTAGTGTGGACATTAATATTTTAAATTTTACAGGATCAGATCCTTTTTTAATTAAGGCATTCTAAAGGTTTTTGTTTTATGAGAAATAGTTGCACTCATATTCAGTCTTAGAATTAGACATTGGTACATTTTTGTTTTTTAAAAAAATTCCAACATGGAAAAGAACTGAAACCAGTTGCATGAAAGTCCAGCTTGCATTATTTTTCTTGGTATCTTAATAGGTAAAGTAGGCATTCAGGATGGCATTCTTGCCTATAGTTTGACTAATGAAACTCTGTTTGAGTTGATAGTGTAAAATGGTAAGGGCCTTCTAGTCTTTTCAAAACTGATGGTAACACTACATACCTATAAGAATAGCCAAAACTAAAAAAGAATGGCTCAAATCAGGAACAGTGAGAACACCAAAGACTGATGAGATGTGAAGCAATAGGAACTCTCACTCATTGCTGATGGGAGTGTAAAGTGGTCCAGCCACTTTGAAGAAGTCTGGCAGATTGTTACAAAACTGAACCTAATTTTTACCATGTATTCCAGCAGTTGCCCTCTTTGGTATTTACCAAAATGAGTTGGAAGACTTCTATCCAGACAAAAACCTGCATACAGATGCTAATAACAGCTTTATTCATAATTGGGAGGACTTGAAAGGAGCCAGAGTATCCATCAGTAGGTGGATGGATGAACTGTGGTCTATTCCAACAATATGGAATGTTATGCCCTGCTATAAAGAGAAATGAGCTGTCAGACCATGAAAAGACACGGAGGCACATTACGTCTGTATTACTAATTGAAAGAACCAATCTGATGAAAAGACAACAGTTTAACTGTATGTTTCCAACTCTATGACATTTCAGAAAAGGCAAAACCCTGTAGAGAACAAAAAGATCAGTGCTTGCTGGAAGTGGGGTGGAGGGATAAACAGACAGAGCACAGAGGATGTTTAGGGCCATGAAAATACGCTGTATGCTACTCTAATGATGCATATGTGTCATCATGCATTGTCCAAACCCATAAAGTGTACAGAACCAAAGGTGAGCCTTAAGGTTAGCTAGGGATGATGTGTCAGTGTAGACCCTTCAATTTAAGCAATGTGCCATCTGGTGAGGGATTTGAACAAGAAGGGGACCATGTGTGGTGGGAGTAGTTATATGGGAAGTCTCTGTACTTTGTCTCAATGTTTCTGTGAACCTAAAACTGCTCTAAAAATAAATTCCTAATGAGAAAAAAATATTTTAAAAAATCAGTGGAGTTTGAAAAAGGTTAATACTAATTTCTTTTCATTTATAAATTTATTGGTGTTCATTTTTGCCAACATATAGAATAACACCCAGTGCTCATCTTGTCAAGTACCCACCTCAGTGCCCATCACCCAGTCACCCCCAACCCCTGCCCTCCTCCCCTTCCACCACCCCTAGTTCGTTTCACAGAGTTAGGAGTCTTTCATGTTCTATCCCCCTTTATGATATTTCCCACCCATTTTTCTCCTTTTTCCTTTATTCCATTTCACTATTTTTATGGTCCCTAAATGAATGAGACCACATAATATTTGTCCTTCTCTGACTGACTTATTTCACTCAGCATAATACCCTCCAGCTCCATTCACGTTGAAGCAAATGGTGGGTATTTGTTGTTTCCAATGGCTGAGTAATATTCCATTGTATACAGAGACCACAACTTCTTTATCCATTCATCTTTCGATGGACACCAAGGCTCCTTCTACAGTTTGGCTATTGTGGACATTGCTGCTAGAAACATCAGGGTGCAGGTGTCCCGGAGTTTCATTGTATCTGTATCTTTGGGGTAAATCCCCAGCAGTGCAATGGCTGGGTCATAGGGGAGATCTATTTTTAACTCTTTGAGGAACCTCCACACAGTTTTCCAGAGTGGCTGCACCAGTTCACATTCCCACCAACAGTGCAAGAGGGTTCCCCTTTCTCCACATCCTCTCCGACAATTGTGGTATCCTGCCTTGTTAATGTTCCCCATTCTCACTGGTGTTAGGTGGAATCTCATTGCAGTTTTGATTTGTATTTCCCTGATGGCAAGTGATATGGAGCATTTTCTCATGTGCTTGTTGGCCATGTCTATGTCTTCCTCTGAGATTTCTGTTCATGTCTTTTGCCCATTTCATGATTGGATTGTTTGTTTCTTTGCTGTTGAGTTGAATAAGTTCTTTATAGATCTTGGATACTAGTCCTTTATCTGACACATCACTTTCAAATATCTTCTGCCATTCTGTAGGTTGTCTTTTAGTTTTGTTGACTGTATACTTTGCTGTGCAAAAGCTTCTTATCCTGAAGAAGTCCCAATAGTTCATTTTTGCTTTTGTTTCTTTTGCCTTCATGCATGTATCTTGCAAGAAGTTACTGTGGCCGAGTTCAAAAAGGGTGTTGCCTGTGTTCTCTAGGATTTTGATGGTATCTTGTCTCACATTTAGATCTTTCATCCATTTTGAGTTTATCTTTGTGTATGGTGAAAGACAGCAGTCTAGTTTCATTCTTCTGCATATGGATGACCAATTTTCCCAGCACTATTTATTGAAGAGACTGTCTTTTTCTAGTGGATAGTCTTTCCTCCTTTTTCGAATATTAGTTGACCCTAAAGTTGAGGGTCTACTCCTGGATTCTCTATTCTGTTCCATTGATCTACGTGTCTGTTTTTGTGCCAGTACCACACTGTCTTTATGACCACAGGTTTGTATTCCAATCTGAAATCTGGCATTGTGATACCCCAAGCTATGGTTTTCTTTTTTAAAATTCCCCTGGCTATTCAGGGTCTTTTCTGATTCCACACAAATCTTAAAATAATTTGTTCCAACTCTCTGAAGAAAGTCCATGGTATTTTGATAGGGTTGCATTAAATGTGTAAATTGCCCTGGGTAACATTGACATTTTCACAATATTAATTCTGCCAATCCATGAGCATGGAATATTTTTCCATGTCTTCCTCAATTCCTTTTAGAAGTGTTCTGTAGTTTTTTCCTTTACCTCTTTGGTTAGGTTTATTCCTAGGTATCATATGTTTTTGGGTGCCATTGTAAATGAGATTGCCTCCTTAATTTCTCTTTCTTCAGTCTCATTGTTAGTGTATAGAAATGCCACTGATTCTGAGCATTGATTTTGTATCCTGCCACACTGCCAAATTGCTGTATGAGTTCTAGCAACATTGGGGTGGAGTCTTTTGGGTTTTCTACATAGAGTATCATGTCATCAGTGAAGAGGGAGAGTTTGACTTCTTCTTTGCCAATTTGAATGCCTTTTATTTCTTTTTGTTGCCTGATTGCTGAGGTTAGGACTTCCAGTACTATGTTGAATAGCAGTGGTGAGAGTGGACATCCCTGTCTTGTTCCTGATCTTAGGGGAAAGGCTCCCAGTGCTTCCCATTGAGAATGATATTTGCTGTGGGCTTTTCGTAGATGGATTTTAAGATGTTGAGGAATGTTCCCTCTATCCCTACACTCTGAAGAGTTTTGATCAGGAATGGATGCAGTGTTTTGTCAAATGCTTTCTCTGCATCTAATGAGAGGATCATATGGTTCTTGTTTTTGCTCTTGTTGATATGATGAATCACATTGATTGTTTTATGAGGTTTGAACCAGCCTTGCATCCCAGGGAAAAATCCTACTTTTCATGATGAATAATCTTCTTAATGTACTGTTGGATCCTATTGGCTAGTATCTTGTTGAGAATTTTTGCATCCATATTCATCAGGGATATTGGTCTATAATTCTCCTTTTTCATGGGGCCTTTGTCTGGTTTTGGAATTAAGGTGATGCTGGCCTCATAGAACGAGTTTGGAAGTATTCCATCGCTTTCTATCTTTCTGAACAGCTTTAGTAGAATAGATATGCTTTTTTCTTTAAACGTTTGATAGAATTCCCCAGGGAAGCCATCTGGCCTTGGACTTTTGTGTCTTGAGAGGTTTTTCTCTTGGGAGGTTTTCTATCTCTTCCAGTTCCAGTTTTGGTAGTTTGTGGCTTTCCAGGAATGCATCCATTTCTTCTAGATTGCCTAATTTATTAGCGTATAGCTGCTCATATGTTTTTTAAATCGTTTGTATTTCCTTGGTGTTGGTAGTGATCTCTCCTTTCTCATTCATGATTTTATTGAGTCTTCTCTCTCTCCTTTCTAATTAGGCTGGCTAATGGTTTATGTATCTTATTAATTCTTTCAAAGAACCAACTCCTGTTTCTTCGTTGTTTTTTTTTTTTTTTTTGTTTTGTTTTTTGTTTTTATCTGTTCCAAGGTCTTCTGGTCTCTATTACATTGAGTTCTGCTTGAATGTTTATTAACTCTTCTTCTGCTGGGTGTAGGATCTATTTGCTGTTTTTTCTCTAGCTCCTTTAGGTGTAAGGTTAGCTTTTGTATTTGAGTTCTTTCCAGTTTTTGGAGGGATGCTTGTATTGCGATGTATTTCCCCCTCAGAACTGCTTTTGCTGTATCCCAAAGAATTTGAATGGTTGTATCTTCATTCTCATTAGTTTCAATGAATCTTTTTAATTCTTCCTTATGTTCCTGGTTGACCCTTTCATCTTTTAGCAGGATGGTCCTTAACCTCCACATTTTTGAAATCCTTCCAAACGTCTTCTTGTGATTTAATTCTAATTTCAAATCATTCTCTGTCTGAAAATATGCAGGGGACGATCCCAATATTTTGGTATCGGTTAAGACCTGATTTGTGACCCAGTATGTGATCTATTCTGGAGAATGTTCCATGTGCACTTGAGAAGAATGTGTATTCAGTTGCATTTGGACATAAAGTTCTGTAGATATCTGTGAAATCCATCTGGTCCAGTGTATCATTTAAAGCTCTTGTTTCTTTGGAGATATTGTGCTTAGAAGACCTATCGAGTGTAGAAAGTGCTAGATTCGTCATAAGCCAGTCACGAAGCACCTCGGGGTTACCTCGGGGTTACACAGGTATACTTATACCATAGGTCAGGATCCTGGGTGCCGTTGTAATGGCTGCAGCTGAGGCCAAAACGAGGCAACGCAGTCTCATTCTAAGTATAACAGGAAATAATTGGCTAGTTTTACTACAGAAGGTGACAATGTGTGCCTCTTGGAGCATTTCCACCCCATCGTGGTGCCCCCATTGAAATGAGGACAGAGGGAACGTGCTATTGCGATATTACATTGCTGGAACCCAGGCAACATTCAACTGGTACTCCATGGTTCATTAAACCCCTTCTGGTCAATCTTCCATCCTTATATTTGTGCCTCAGATACACAGGATACCAGCCCACGTGCATTATAAATATCATCCATAGACACATGATGTGCCTAGGAAGTAGATTCTAGCCTGATCCCCACAGGGCAGGTTGGGAAACTGTGGACTATTTGATAGACCCAGTGGGTTAGGTAGGACACAGCACTGGGAAAACAGAGAAATAAAGGTCTGAATTCAGCTCCGTGTTCTCAAAGGTAGACCTTACTTGCATGTTCAGAGGGATGTGTCTTGGTATTTTTTAGCTCATCGTGTACAGTTAAGATGACATTGGGTAAGCATGCATCTGCTAAGAAGGGGCTCTGGATAGGTCTGACTGAAGGAAGGGGCCCAGGTCCTTGAATCTTGAAAAAGTGACTTCACTTCCTTGGTGACAGGCCCACAAATGATGTGGAACTCTGGTAACCAGGAAACTATGGGAACCAGGTCCCGCTTTCCAGTTCACTTAACTGGAGATGGTCAAGAGAACAAGATGTTCTATTACTCTTGTCCTACTTTCAGGTCCTCTGAGTCCAGAGTGAGAGATTTTCATGTCGCTGTCTATGTCAGCTCAGCCCTCTTCTCCAGCGCTTCTGGCTATGTGGCAGGAGACATCAACAGGTACCACAAGGCAACCTGGGGCAGCCCACTGGTGAGGAGACCACACTGTGATCTCAGCTGAGCAGGATCACACCTCTTACACCTCACTGTGTGTGTCTGTGAGTTTATGTGTGTCTGGGTGTGTGTGTGTGTGTGTGTGTGTGTGTGTGTGTGTAGAGGGGACAGAGGAGAGGAACATGCCCTTACAGGGCACAGACCAGCTTCCAGGAGTTGTAAGCCTGATACATCTTTTGTGCTCAGACCCCAGGTCATAGCAGGCATGATGAGAAGGTGAGTTCTGGGCACCAAGCTCAACTTCCAATATATTAGTCATGAGCCCAAGAGCTTCTTTCACCTGGCTTCCTCCTTGCCAGATGTCTCCACAGATGCCCCTCTGGCCTGAACAGGAGAATGTAATTTCTAATAGGGGTGTCCCCTTGGGGGTGATGTCGAGGGAGGACCCTAATGTCTCTTGGCCCTGTATATACGGGGCACTGTATTTGCAGAGCTGCACCCAGGAGATCTTGGAGGAGATGGTCTGAGGCTTCAACTATTCCAACTCCCTAGACAATTATCAGGTGCACCAGAGAAACAAGGATCAGTGCTGTTCTGAGTTGAGAAAGAGAAGAGGGCTCACCACAGAAATATGGCACCCACACAAATATGGAGAGAAAACTGGGGCCCTCCAATAGTGTTTCCACATGAGTGTCCCACCGGCCCAACCGTAGAGACCTCTGAACCTCCACGCCTATCCTCCAGCTACATATGATGTGGGAAGACACTCTTCACCTGTATTGGAATGGTGCAGAATATATTTCATGTTTTTTAGGAGTTGGTGGGGGGGGGTGTGTTTTCACAAAGCCATGAGTATCTTTCGTTTTACTTCTGTTTTTATCATTTCATGTACTCCTCCCAGCTATCATGTGTAGAAGCCAGCTCCACTGTCCCTGCAGACCTTCTCCGAGCCTTTCCAAATCACCACACTAAAGAGGGTGATTTAACACAAAAGGGTGTGATGAAGCCATTGTGTATGTTTTCATATAGAATGTTTATATAGTTTCCCTCTATAGGTTCTCTCTATACGTTTCTCTATAACATGTCATCTCTCAGAACACATCAAATCATTGTAGGCCCAACAGGACAAGAGCTGTATCCCTATAGATCTTCGTAGTAGTTCATAAATGAGGCTGTCTGCCACATGGATTCAGACTTTCGAGACCCTTGGCACTTGACCTGATGCCATTCTCTTGCCATTTCTGCAGTGCTGCAAGGAACACCTTATGTGTCCCCACAGACTGTTTTGGTTGCTAGATCTGCCATAACCTGGAACCCCAGATTAGGGGGAAGGCCTCTGATGCCTCCTGGCACCAGTAGCTGGCTCTTTTTGTAATGAAGAGGAGTTTGTAACTCATCCAGGAGATCTTGGATGAGTTGCTCCAAGAGTTGAACTCCTCCATCTCCTCTGACAAGCACAGGGGCATCAGGCCACCAACTACATCCATTGAAGGTCTGCGGTGAGAACAGGTCCACATTCATGGTCAAACTCAAGACACAGAGATGATCAGGGCAAAACCAGAACACAGACTAGAAACAACTGATGCCCTTGGGCCTTGCAGGAGAAAGTAGTTTTCCCCTGACCCTTCATCCCTATGTCAGGAACAGACCAAGCCACATCAGCTTAAGGGAAACCCCATGCAGCTCACGCTCTGGTCTCTTCTCAGCTGCAATGTATGTGATCTTGAGCAGCATTTGAGGGTCTAGCCCTCTGTGTTCTGTGTGAGGCCATAACTGAAGACTCAATGGCATACTGGTCTTCATAAAACTATTAGTTGAGAAGAATGCTGTTATTGCCCAGCTAACAGAATGTGTTGAAGTTACTAATGGTTTACGATGTCTTCCCTAAAACCAATGATACTTTGAAGCCTCAAACCTTTTTCTGTGTGGGCACTCAAGTCCCTTGTCCTGTACAACTTCCCAAGGGGAAGGGAGTCTCTGGTCTGAGAGGCAGACCCTGATCTTCGCAGTGGTTCTTGGTTTGGAAGCTGACTACAGTGCTTCTCCTTGTGTCTCTGGTGTGAAAAGGAATCAACCCTATTCCTGGGTGAGGCCAGGACCATGCTGATGCTCAAAGAAGGGAAAATGGATAATTTTGTACAGTCCTTGGTAACATCCTTCCAGGATAGAAGCCTCGCAAACAACCCAGTCATTTCCTGTATCTACCAGGTGTTCATCACAGCCCAACAGGTCCTGGGCCAGCAATTCCCCAAGTGAGTGACCACCCCATATGCAGCATGGCGGAGGGGGAAGCCTTGCCTCTACTACCGGTATGTTTTGGGAATGTCACTGCACCTCTCTGAGCTTCCTTTTGCTCCTCTGAAAAGTGCTGTGGTAAGAGGATGAACCTCATCGGGCTACTGTGGAAATCCTGAGAGAAAACATGGCATAGACTTATCTGGTGCCTGGCTCTGTAGAAAGGGCTGCTGGGCATCTTCATGTGTAGCAGTTTTCTCTCCACAGCTAAGAAGGTCTCCACAGCAACCCCCATGGGCCTGTGGCACTTCTGGTTTTACAGAAACACATGCAAAGCAGGCAGTTTTCCTGTATGCAAAGGACTTCTGAGATTCCATCTACTGGTCCTGATACTCTGTCCTCATAAGAGTAGACGTCACTGGGGGAAGGCAGCGCAGCTCAAGTTCCACTCAGTATACGGAAATTGCTGGTTGGGATTCCTTCATCCAATAATACATATTAAGCACCTTGTATTGCAGACACATTTCTATTCAGTGAGATAATTGAAGGAATAAAGAAGGTACAGTGTCTCGGTCCCAAGACTAATCAGAGTGTCAGACAATCACTCTGTATGTCATAGGCACACATGTCCATAGTTTTTTAGATGTGACATCTTCATGGCCGCCTCAAGGAATGAGTGGATCCACCCATATCTGGACCATTATCATGGACCATAAGATCAAGTAAGGGCACTGAGTGGCTCATTCAGGTAGGCCTCTGCCATGAGGTCAGGTCGTTATCCCAGGGTCCTGTGTTTGAGCCCTCCATTGGGCTCCCTGCTCAGTGGGGAGCCTGCTCACCATGCTTATTCGCTCACTCGCTCGCTCTAATAAATATCCTTAAAAATTTTGGGGAAAGATCAAGTAAAACTTTGATCTTTGGATCCTGAAGGAGAACATTAATTTCTCCACAGAGCATGTTGGGAGACTAAGGGTTTGTGGCTGGGGAGTAACTCAGACCCATGGATCTCATAGGTCTCTTGAGTTCCATTGGGAGGGTTTCATTTTTGGGGCTTCCTGTGAAGAGGGAAATGAGTCAAAGGGAGCTGTAGATGAGGTCCCAAGCCCTCTGGGAAGCAGAGCACAGTCTGGGCTGAATTGGTGCCTCAAACATCCATCCCTTCAACTGTCCCATCTTGCTCTTCCTGCACCTCTCTATACCACCTCTTCTGACCTCCACAACTGGGGCCAAGAACAAAACTTTGGTGAGCAGACCACTCACCAATCTGCCACAAACCTAAGCCCTGATACTGGTGTGCATGAAGGATGCAGCAGACGAGGCCCTTGACCATTGAGAAAACAGGCTAAGTAGAAAAACAAGACTCATACAGGTTTTCTGGACGACCAGATCATCCACTGCAAGGACAGCGACAGGGGGTTGGAAATCATGCTGGGGACATTCTCTGGGGCCCACACAGACAGAATGGTGCTATGGAAGTACCATGTGGCATGAAAGGCCATGCTCTGATGTTGCTCCACATATGACTCTCCCCAGCACTCTCTCTCCCATCTTGGGTACCTTGCCTGACCAGAAACTGCAGAACACCTGGCAGTCCCTGCACTGTGCCTGTTTCAAAGTAAAGGGGGCCTGGGTGCAGGCATATTTCCATGACTGGGACATGAATTGCCATACCCCCATTACCGTGATGCCACGGGAACTTCTGCAGCTCACTGAGGCAGACACAGAGTCAGAGGGTAAGGGGGATTGCAAGCTGGGAAGACTATCTGCGATGCGGTTCAGGGACTGGGGGTTTCTCTATCAGCCATGGAATCTGCCCTGTTTTTGGAAGGGCATGGGGCAAGTCAGTCTTGTGGACAAACATTTCTCTTTCTCCTGTCCCAGTGCCAGCTCCATGGCTCCTTCCAGCATCTCCTCCATCAGCTGTTCCAGATCTGGAACAAGAGCTCATGTCTTCTTCTGCATGTGTACCAGGTCATGAGCTGCAGTCAGTTCAACCACCAGCTTTCCTGGGAATTGTAACTTCTTCCCTAAACATAGAGACAGAGCCACGTCCAGCCCCAGAGGCGACCTGCCACTGGTGCATAACTCCTGAGCACCAGCTACATGAGGAAAAGCCCGGTCTCATGGACTTCCCTCCCAAGCTGGTGGCAGAGCAATTGACATCCGTAGATGTGGTGAGCAGCTGGGCTCCCAGGACGGGGCCAGGGCTGGCTTTCTTTCTGCTGTCATCTGCCCCAGACCTGCCCTTCCCTGATGTGGGCTTGTATGGTCAGGGTCCAAATCTCAGCTCCATCACTTACGAACCACATCAACCCGTCCTGTTCCTCAAACCCTTGCTTTCACTGTCCAGCTGCAGACTTTGAAGACAGACCCTGGCAAGGACTGATGCAGAGTTCCTGTGTCAATTAAATGAGCCAGAACTGATAGGCGAATGGGCAGGCACTGGTCCTTGGGTGGAGGAGGGCAACTCACTGTGTGCGGCCAAGCCCACGGCTCACCCACACAACTGCCTTGGAGGCCGAGCAACCTACATTCATTAGTCATCTAATGTGTGAAGTACAGGGCAGGGAGACAAACCTGTGGTTGTACCTCTCTCTGTGAGAATGTGCTGCTGAAAGGGGAGTAGGACCAGAGGCATGAACACTGGGAGGGGAAGATGCCCCTCTGAGGAGCCCCCTTGAACTGCCACCTGTAACTTGAAGTTAGTGGGGATGATCAGGGCACAAATGCCCTCCTTCCTCTGCTCCCCCCCGGCAGTATCTGCTCCTCATTCATCCTGTACTGTGCTCCCTCAGGGAAGAGGAATGGAGTGCAATCCAGGGACTCTAACTGGGTTCAGGCCACTTTCTGCGCTTGCCGAGCCCCAGCTCTGACATGGGATGCCTACGTAGGACATGAATCTTGCATGTGAAATGGCTGTGAGAGCGAGCGTCCCCCTATTCAAGGATCTGTTCAAGAAGCTGCTGCCCCAACAGTGCCTGAGCTCCATTTGCTCCAAGCGAAATGAACCTGGAAATGAGCACCTGGCATGCACAGTCCATGCCACCATCACCCAGTTCAACGACGTGTCCAACTGCGTCATCACCACCTTCCTTGGCAACGCATGCATGATGGCCCAGGACAGGCCATGGTGGTGGAGCACTGGATCAAGGTGGCCAAGGTAAGCCTACAGGAGGCCCAGCTGACTTGCTCTCCTGAGCCTCGGGAACTGCTCTGCCCTTGATCAGTTCTCAATGTTGAAGTCTCTGGTCTGAGTTCTTCTTTCAAGGGGCATGCTGACCTGTCCTTGCATGGCCCAATGTTGGGATGCTCAGTTCCTACATGACTCTTTCCTTGGAGTGAAGGAAAATGCCCCCTCTCCCCAGCAGTGCTCCTCGCTGGGTCTTCCACCTGCCCTTCTGTAGGTCTCTAGACATCTGTCTCATCCAGGAGAGGAGACTGACACTGAAGAAGAGTGCAGCTCTCCAGGATATTGGCTCCTGCTATCCACCTGACAGCTCCTTCTCTTCCATCCCCAGGCCTGTCAAATCTTGCGGAACTACTCTTCCATGCATGCCATCATCTCTGCTCTGCAGAGTGCCTCAATTCACCGACTGAAGAACACATGGACCAAAGTTTCCAGGTAAGGCGTCCTCTCTCCAGAAGGACCATGAAGGATGAGGGATGTCCCATATGCCTGTCCTTTTCACCCCCCTCAGTCACCCTGGACTTCCTAGGAGGCAGCAAACCGTGAAACAGGACGTGGGGGGGGGGCAGGGGGACAGGTTATTTTCTAATCCTTTCTGGGGAATAGGCCACCATGCCTCCAAATGTCCCCATTTGGGGAGACTGGGCTGAGCTGAATTAAAAGTTTTTGGATATGAACATTATAGCAACTAAAGTCTCTTCCCAATTGAAACAAAAACTGACCAAAGGAGAGCTGTTCAATTAATAGGGGACTGGATGCAGTGGATGACCCACAAGAGAGCTCCCTCCTGTGTCCTCCAATGCCTGAGTGCTCAGAGGAACCCAAAGAAAACCCTGATCCAGCAGTTTGACTCCTTGGAGGTCTCAGATCATAGGGACTTGCACTCAACCCTACCTTAGTATTCCAACATCCATCCTGCCTTCTTTCTCTCTATTCAGGAATAACATTCGAACATTTTTAAAAAATGTGCACCAAAGACAATTCACAGAGCAGGAACCTGCTTATCAAGGTAGCATGGAAGGTGTTGGTATAGAAAGAGAAGAGGTGTGGGAGCAACAGTGTCCTTCGTGAATGAATTAGGGACTGGCCAGGAGCATTCCCTCAGGGAGTGAAGCCTTTGGCATGAATGTGGACACAGCCAGGGGTGAAAATCCACAAGGGGTGGAAAAGCAGTTGCTGCTCAACCAGAATCCCTAGGCTGGACACACAAGCTCCCTGTCACCAGCTGGTCCAGATGGGGGCCTCTACCAAACTTGAGAGCCCAGAGGACATGCCTCTGCTCAGTGAGGGATTTGGATGGGATGAGGGCCACAACAATGATGCTAGGAATAGGACACTGGGTCCTCAGGAGACCAAGGGAGGTAGCTGGAATTCTCAACCTTTCCCAGTGAGGAACCAGGCTCAGGGAGGCCAGACTGCAAGCTCAAAGTCACACAGGGAGTGAATGTTGGAGCTGAGATTGTTCTAGAATCACTCATGGCAGGCTTAAGGATAACGAAGCATGCTACCCTCTGCCTTGTGTCAGATGTCCAGCATCTGAGTCAAAGATGGTGGGGAGAAGCAGCCTGAGGTGATTATGATCTTGAGGAACTTGTCCTTAGCCCTGCAGGAACGGCCATCTAAACTTGGAACCCTGGGGGTAAATGTTCAGAGAGCATGGAAGAGGGAGTGGCAGAAGAAGCTGAGCATGCCCCAGATACATGGTCTCGAACCCAGAGGAGACGGGGGTCTTCCCTGAAAGCTGGAAGCCCCCAAATCAAGACAGGGGCCTTCCAACTCCAGCTCCGCCTCCTGTTGCCACAGCTTCTAAATCCCTTCTTTTGAAGTGACCTGGAAGAGGGTCTATAAACCTAGATACAAATATGTTTGTTGGTGGCAGGGACCCAGGGCCACATATACAATGATTTTCTAAAGCACGCCCTTTAAATGATTAGGAGGACTCTGATGTTCTTGGACGGTGAGGGAAGGGACCTTGTCTGCACCATGTGGTAAGCTGGGGTGGGCCAGGAGGCTGAAATGTTTCCCGGGGAGGATCCCAGGGGACACGAGAGAGCAGGGACTCACTCCACCCCCAACCCCCTGACACAGGGTCTCGTCCCCTTCCTTGGCACCTTCCTCACTGACCTACTCATGTGGGATGCTGCAATGGAGGAGAACCTGGAGGTGCATGAGCCTGAGGGCTGGGAAGGAGGGGCCAGAATCCTGATGTGTGGGAGCACAGAACCCCTGAACTGAGCCCTGAGCTCTCAGTCCTTGGCAAATTTTCCCCTCGTGACAGCCTCCCCGCTCCCCTGTGAGCTAGAGTTACTTGCCCATGTCTGTGATGAATAAAGGGAGGCTGCACTTAGTTCACTGGCCCTGAGATCAAATCTGCTGCCTGAATGCAAAACAGCACGAGGTTAGTCTGGGTTGACTTCAGCCTGTCCCTTTGAGATTGCCTGTGGGGGCAGAGTGAAGTCAGGATCTCTAACTTGAGCGGGCACTTAAAGAGCCTAGCATCTCTTGCCCTCCTGAGGCTTTGGCCTCCCCTTCCTGTGCTATAGGATGCCAGACCTGCCACCCCATGTCTTCCTTTCCCTGGCTCCCAGAGCCTGACCTACATTGCAGTCCTGTCATCCGGGGAGTCATGGCCCCTTGTGTGCCTGGCCTTAGTGCAACATGAGAAGGGGTGGGTATTAGCAGCCAGTAATAACCGGAGTCCTCTCACTGACAGACTTTGGTTTTCTGCTTTCCAGGGCAATGAGATCAACCACCGGAAGAAGAATAAGGTGAGGCTCTCTATGACTTCCTGTAGGAAAGGGTAGGGCTGTGGCTGTCAGAGATGTCCCCAGGAGGATCATTCCTTGCTTCCATCCCTTCATTCTCACATTTTTGGGAATAGTTTCATAATAAGGAAAAAGTCCTATATAGTTAGTGAGGACAGAGGAATGGCCATCAAGGATAACTTGCCATATCAGGGGCAGTTTATACTCACCTCTGAGAACAAGTTGGGACGAATTTGGAGGACGGGGTTGTCGCCATGTGTCAAAGACTCAGCACTGTTCCTCTGTCCCAGTGCTCAGCCCTCCAAAGACCTTGTAGCTTCCCCACCCAGGCTCTTCATGTATCCTGTCCTTCTCTTTTGGCCCAGGAATGCAGATTCATGACTGAGATCATGCTGCTCCAGGTGGCTGCAGATCATTACAACGTAGAGCCCAAGCATCCATTTAGGGCCTGGTTCCAGTCTGGGAAGTGGCTCAGTGAAGAGGAGAGGTGAGGCCCATCAGGAGCTGAGTGAGCGTAGTGGTAGTCTCCTCAGGTGGCCACTCCAGGGATCCTTCTAATATGGCTCCTGGGGCAGCCTCCAACCTTGCTGCTGGGGCACCAGGCTCCAGCTCCTTGGAAAATATCAGGAAAAACTCCTGAATTGAAGCTCCTGCTCAACTGACATGTGTCACTCTGTCCTTAGCTACATCTTGTCCTGCTAGCTGGCGCAACAAACCTAGCTCACAAACAGAAAGAACTGGCCACAGTCAACCTCAGGCCGAGCTGGTGTCCAGGGGCAACAGCGGGCATGGGACCCGACTGCTCAACACTTCCTTCCGTCTCTTCAATTATTTGGAGGACCAATATTTCATCATCTTAAAGAGTAAATGGTAGATTTCAATATTATAATATTAAAGCCTTTTTAGAGTCCAGGAGTAGTTTGGTTCTTTTACTTCCTATAGTAATCTAAAAGACTTAAAGAGTCTCATATTCATTTTCTTTTTTTCCCCCCTAAATATTCTTTATTTATTCATGAGAGACACAAGAGAGAGGCAGGCTCCCTGTGGGGAGCCTGTCATGGGACTCAAACACAGGGCTCCAGGATCATGATCTGAGACAAAGGCAGATGCTCAAACACTGAGCCACCCAGGTTACCCTCTTATGCTCATTTTAAACAGGAAATCTTACAGAGTCATCAGCTCCTGTATGTGGGAAAAAGTAGAAGATCCAGCTTCCTCCCTAGCTACGGAAGGGCATCCCCAAGCCCTCCTTTCTCAGAGGACAGTGTAAGGAACTTGGGCAAACAGCAGAAACACCTCTTCATAACTGCTGAGATTTAGAGGTTGGAGGTATTTCCACAGGAATAGCAACAATCACTGAATTGGGGGTCTTGAAGGATACCACTTGCCAGAACTACCTCCTGCCCGAGGACAGTGGCTCCCTTTGTACAGTTTAAAGGAAGGAGGACTTTTTCTTGCCACTCTTTGTGTGTAGATTATTTTGGCTTGGGTTTTAGGGTTTGACAGTTCCATTATTAGGAACGTGTAGTTGTCTAGTTCCACTTCTGGAATTGCATCAACACTAAAGTGGGGACAAACATGTAAAGAGACTATATCCTGCACATGGAAGGCATGAGGCCAGTGGAAGATAATTAGTGGATGAAATAGGGCAGGCAGGACTTTCCATCCTCAGTCTCACTCCAGGGGTTCCAACTTTCACCAGTGACCAACACTGGAATTCTCCTGGGATCCTCGTCAGTGATCTCTGAATTCCTTTCCCTCTTGGTTTTCTTGAGGGGGAAAGATATTTGTGTACATTGAAGGTCACACCTGGGCCAGGTTCCATGAACAACTGTGCTGACTTCTGAGCTAGGATTTCCTGCCTTTCTGTATTTCCTTTGGCAGCTCTCTTGAAGGCAGAAATTCCCTGAAGGCCCCAGCTTCTTGGCCGGATGCGTAGTAGCCACTCTTCCCTGGCTGGGACCTGATGGATCAGACATCGGTTGTCCCTTGCCAGAATAATGCTTTGGCCAGAGAAACCACCACACTCTCCTTGTTGGACAAGATGACTTTTAGGTCTTTGTTGTTCTGATGTCTGTGGTCCCAGACATTCACCAGTTTACATTAATTGTACACACTTACACTGTCTTGTCTGAAATTGCTAACTGAGCTTGACCTCTAACGTCTTGTACTTCGGTTATATCATGCGGTACATGAACCTTTTCTGTCAGGAGCTTTGAAATATGACGAATGAGAGAGTAGGATTCAGGGGGTTCCATGAGGTGAATGCCACCAAGCTGAGGACCTGAGTAATCAAATGGCAATAAATGTATTCTGATCAATAATTACTACGATGGGGGAAGAGTAGGGTCCCCAAGTCACCTGTCCCCACCAAATTACCTAGAGAACTTTCAAATCATCTTGAAAACCCACGAATTTGGCCTGAGATATAAAGAGAGAACAGCTGGAATGACACAGTGAGAAGAGTTCACGCTTCTATCAAGGTAGGAAGACAGAAAAAAAGTAAAGAAATAAAAAAGCATCCAAGGGGAAAAGGCCCCACAAGGAGCCAGGCTGAGGCCACTCAGCAAGTGCCCCCAGGACAGGAAAGCCCTGACCCGAGAAGCAGGAGCTTCACCAATCTTCCCGGACAGAAAGGCACTCCCAGGGAGTTGGACCAGTATCCCAGGAGGGGCCGGGATGCCCTCAGGCTCCCAGGGGCACTAATAGAGGGAGAGCGCACCAAGCACCAGCCAAGCTCCCTAAAGGGCTGCAACTAGGTAAGGTGGGGCCCAGGAGCAGCTTGGACAGCAGTTCAGGCAGCTGCTCCAAGCAGAAGGGGCTGAGCAGCCCCGGGAGTGCGATTCCAGTGGTGCAGGCCCCAGAGCCCAGGATGCTGGCGGACACAGCCCAGGATCTGGCACTGCCCTCAGGACAGCCAGGACATTCCTGCCACTGGGCAGCCCAGAGCTGTGCAGATCGGCAGCCCCCACCCCCGTAGCATCCAGGAACCTGCGGACTTAGAGCTCCATACTTACTGCGGGAGCTGAATCCAGGGCCCCAGAGCTGGCCACTGCCACTGTTGTTGTTCCTCACGGGGTCTCACAGGATAAACAACTCCTGCTGAGCCATGCACCAGGCAGAGGGCTGAGCAGCTCCCCCAGGTGCACAAACCTGGGAATCAGCAAAGCAGGCCACTCCTCCAGAAGACCAGCTAGACAGACAGGGAAAAAACAAGTTATTGACCAAGCAGCACTGGAAAGATCCAGGGGAAGTCAAGGAATTTACAGTATATAGAATCAGAGGATACTCCCCTTTGTTTTTTGTTTTCTGTTTGCTTCCCCCCCTTCTTTCTTTTTTCCTATTTTCTCTTCTATCTTTTCTCTCCTTTTCCCAATACAACTTGTTTTGGGCCACACTGCACAGAGCAAAATGACTAGAAGGAAAAACTCACCTCAAAGGAAAGAAGCAGAAACAGTCCTCTCTCCCACAGAGTTACAAAATTTGGTTTACAATTCAATGTCAGAAAGCCAATTCAGAAGTACAATTATAAACCTACTGGTGGCTCTACAAAAAAGCATGAAGGATTCAAGAGACTTCATGACTGCAGAATTTAGAACTAATCAGACAAAAACTAAAAATCAATTAAATGAGCTGCAATCCAAACTAGAGGTCCTAATGATGAGGGTTAACGAGGTAGAAGAATGAGTGAGTGACATAGAAGACAACTTGATGGCAAAGAGGGAAACTGAGGAAAAAAGAGACAAACAATTAAAAGATCATGAGGATAGATTAAGGGAAATAAATGACAGCCTCAGAAGGAAAAATCTACATTTAATTGAGTTTCCCAAGGGCGCTGAAAGGGAAAGAGGTCCAGAAACTGTATTTGAACAAATCATAGCTGAGAACGTTCCTAACTTGGAAAGGGAAATGGGCATTTAGATCCAGGAAATACAGAGATACCCCCCCAAATCAATAAAAACCATTCAACTCCTCGACATTTAATAGTGAAGCTTGTAAAATCCAAAGATAAAGAGAAGATCCTTAAAGCAGCAAGAGACAAGTAATATCTAACTTTTATGGGGAGAAATATTAAATTAACAGCAGTCCTCTCCACAGAGACCTGGCAGGCCAGGAATGGCTGGCAGGATATATTCAAGGTTCTATGAGAAAAATATACAGCCAAGAATACTTTATCTAGCAAGGCTCTCATTCAGAAAAGGAGAGATAAAGAGCTTTCAAGATAGGCAACAAACTGAAAGAATATGTGACCACCAAGCCAGTTCTGCAAGAAATACTAAGGGGGATTCTGTAATAGAAAGAGGAAGTCCAAGAAAACAATCCAGAAAAACCGTGACTGAATAGGCATTATGATGACACTAAATTCATATCCTTCAATAGTAACTCTGAATGTAAATCGGCATAATGACCCCATCAAAAGGCGCGAGGTTTCAGACTGGATGAAAAAGCAAGACCCATCTATTTGCTGTTTACAAGAGACTCATTTGAGACATAGGACACCTACAGCCTGAAAATAAAAGGTTGGAGGACCAAGTACCATTCAAATGATCCTCAGAAGAAAGCAGGGGTAGCCATCCTTATATCAGATAAAGTAAAGTTTATCCCCAAGACTATAGTAAAAGATAAAGAGGGACACTATATCATACTTAAAGGATCTATCCAACAAGATGACGTAACAATCATCAATATTGATGCCCTGAATGTGGGAACTGCAAAGTATATCAATCAATTAATAACCAAAGTTAAGACATACTTAGATAATCATACACTTATACTTGGTGACTTGAATGTAGCGCTTTCTACAATCGACAGATTTCTAAGCACAACATCTCCAAAGAAACAAGAGCTTTAAATGATACACTGTACCGATGAATTTCACAGATATTTACAGAACTTTACATCCAAACAGAACTGAATAAACATTCTTTTCAAGTGAACATAGAATCTTTTCCAGAATAGACCACATACTGGGTCACAAATCAGGTCTTAACCAATACCAAAAGATTGGGATCATCCCCTGCATACTATTGCACGATAATATTTGAAATTAGAACTAAATCACAAGAAGAACATTGGAAGGGTTTCAAACACGTGGAGGTTAACTACCATCCTGCTAAAAGATGTAAGGGTCAACCAGGAAACTAGAGAAGAATTAAAGAGATTCATGGAAACTAATGAGAATGAAGATAGAAGCATTCAAAATCGTTGGGATGCAGCAAAAGCAGTCCTGAGGGGGAAATACATCGCAATACAAGCATCCATTCAAAAACTGGAAAGAACTCAAATACAAAAGCTAACCTTACACATAAAGGAGATACAGAAAAAACAGCAAATGGACCCTACACCCAGCAGAAGAAAGGAGTTAATTAAGATTCGAGCAGAACTCAACGAAATTGAGACCAGAAAACTGTGAAACAGATCAACACAACCAGGAGTTGGTTCTTTGAAAGAATTAATAAGATAGATAAACCATTAGCCAGCCTTATTAAAAAGAAGAGAGAGAAGACTCAAATTAATAAAATCATGAATGAGAAAGGAGAGATCACTATCAACACCAAGGAAATACAAACGATTCTAAAAACATATTATGAACAGCTCTACGCCAATAAATTAGGCAATCTAGAAGAAATGGACGCATTCCTGGAAAGCCACAAACTACCAAAACAGGAACAGGAAGAAATAGAAATCCTAAACAGGCCAATAACCAGGGAGGAAATTGAAGCAGTCATCAAAAACCTCCGAAGACACAAAAGTCCAGGGCCAGATGGCTTCCCAGGGGAATTCTATCAAATGTTTAAAGAAGAAACCATACCTATTCTACTAAAGCTGTTTGGAAAGATAGAAAGAGATGGAGTACTTCCAAATTCATCTATTAGGCCAGCATCACCTTAATTCCAAAACCAGACAAAGACCCCACCTAAAAGGAGAATTACAGACCAATATCCCTGATGAACATGGATGCAAAAATTCTCAACAAGATACTAGCCAATAGGATCCAACAGTACAATAAGAAAATTATTCACCATGACAAAGTAGGATTTATCCCCGGGACACAGTCTGGTTCAACACCGTAAAACAATCAATTGATTCATCATATCAGCAAAAGCAAAACCAAGAACCATATGATCCTCTCATTAGATGCAGAGAAAGCATTTGACAAAATACAGCATCCATTCCTGATCAAAACTCTTCAGAGTGTAGGGATAGAGGGAACATTCCTCGACATCTTAAAAGCCATCTACGAAAAGCCCACAGCAAATATCATTCTCAATGGGGAAGCACTGGGAGCCTTTCTCCTAAGATCAGGAACAAGACAGGGATGTCCACTCTCACCACTGCTATTCAACATAGTACTGGAAGTCCTAGCCTCAGCAATCAGATAACAAAAAGACATTAAAGGCATTCAAATTGGCAAAGAAGAAGTCAAACTCTCCCTCTTCGCCGATGACATGATACTCTACATAGAAAACCCAAAAGCCTCCACCCCAAGATTGCTAGAACTCATACAGCAATTTGTTAGCGTGGCACGATACAAAATCAATGCGCAGAAGTCAGGGGCATTTCTATACACTAACAATGAGACTGAAGAAAGAGAAATTAAGGAGTCAATCCCATTTACAATGGCACCCAAAAAGCATAAGATACCTAGGAATAAACCTAACCAAAGAGGTAAAGGATCTATACCCTAAAAACTATAGAAAACTTCTGAAAAAAATTGAAGAAGACACAAAGAGATGTAAAAATATTCCATGCTGCTCATGGATTGGCAGTTTTAATATTGTGAAAATGTCAATGTTACCCAGGGTAATTTACACGTTTAATGCAATCCCTATCAAAACACCATGGACTTTCTTCAGAGAGTTAGAACAAATTATTTTAAGATTTGTGTGGAATCAGAAAAGACCCCGAATAGCCAGGGGAATTTTAAAAAAGAAAACCATAGCTTGGGGCATCACAATGCCAGATTTCAGGTTGTACTACAAACAAAGCTGTGGTCATCAAGACAGTGTGGTACTGGCACAAAAACAGACACATAGATCAAAGGAACAGAATAGAGAACCCAGAAGTGGACCCTGAACTTTACGGTTAACTAATATTCGATAAAGGAGGAAAGACTATCCATTGGAAGAAAGACAGTCTCTTTAATAAATGGTGCTGGGAAAATTGGACATCCACATGCAGAAGAATGAAACTAGACCACTCTCTTGCACCATACACAAAGATAAACTCAAAATGGATGAAAGATCTAAATGTGAGACAAGATTCCATCAAAATCCTAGAGGAGAACTCAGGCAACACCCTTTTTGAACTTGGCCACAGTAACTTCTTGCAAGATACATCCAAGAAGGCAAAAGAAACAAAAGCAAAAATGAACTATTGGGACTTCATCAAGATAAGAAGTTTTTGCACAGCAAAGGATACAGTCAACAACTAAAAGACAACCTACAGAATGGGAGAAGATATTTGCAAATGACATATCAGATAAAGGGCTAGTTTCCAAGATCTATAAAGAACTTATTAAACTCAACACCAAAGAAACTAACAATCCAGTCATGAAATGGGCAAAAGACATGAACAGAAATCTCACAGAGGAAGACATAGACATGGCCAACATGCACATGAGAAAATGCTCTGCATCACTTGCCATCAGGGACATACAAATCAAAACCGCAATGAGATACTACCTCACACCAATGAGAATGGGGAAAATTAACAAGGCAGAAAACCACAAATGTTGGAGAGGATGCGGAGAAAAGGGAACCCTCTTACACTGTTGGTGGAAATGTGAACTGGTGCAGCCACTCTGGAAAACTGTGTGGAGGTTCCTCAAAGAGTTAAAAATAGACCTGCCCTATGACCCAGCAATTGCACTGTTGGGGATTTACCCCAAAGATTCAGATGCAATGAAACGCTGAGAAATCTGCACCCAGATGTTTCTAGCCGCAGTGTCCACAATAGCCAAACTGTGGAAGGAGCCTCGGTGTCCATCGAAAGATGAATGGATAAAGAAGATGTGGTTTATGTATACAATGGAATATTACTCAGCCATTAGAAATGACAAATACCCACCATTTGCTTCAACTTGGATGGAACTGGAGGGTATTATGCTGAGTGAAGTAAGTCAATTGGAGAAGGACAGTGTATGTTCTCATTCATTTGGGGAATATAAATAATAGTGAAAGGGAATACAAG